TACCTATGGTGCTTGTAGGCGGATTCACAGTCACCGTTTGCTTTTCTGCTCACTCATATTCTATTTCGCCCCACCTTTCTTGTTCTTCCCCAATCAATGGTTCCCTCTCTTCTGATCAACAATCTCTACTAATCAACAATCTCTTCTTCTCGACCGGTCCGGATCGAATCGCGTAAATCGAATAGTTATGGCACAGGAATGAAGAAAAACGAGAGAAGTATTTGAAATTACTTTACAGTGCCGGAACACGTCAAAACGTCCATATCCCACCTCTCTGACTGCGAGGTGCGTGAATGCTGTCACGCTGGTATAGGTATAGGCAGCACCACCCGCGAATTGAGTACCTGTCAACACTTGGAGGGTTCCAACCAGGAGTACGTCAAGCCTAACCCTGAGTCTGGTGCTAAGCTGAATAGAAGCATACCCCCAAGTGCCTAGATATGATAGATGGCTATGCCATACGCACTTTAACCCAATAGCACGCGCAGCGGTTCCTGCCCGCTCGTAAACTACTCATAAAGAGCAATTCCCGAGTGATGCCGCATGAAGTGCATCACCGATAACCCGTCCGAAATAGGGGATGCAACCCGCAACACGCCATAAATGGCGACAACGCGGATTTTAGGTCGCGAATGCAACCACCGATCGGCCGTCCATTCTATCCCGAATACTGTAGAATTGAAAATTATGACGAAAGGGGTTTGCCTCTGGTGTTGATGCGCAAGGCAACAGGAAAGCAAGCGAGAGGGTGGGTGGGTGGGTAGGTGGGTGTGCGCTAAGGCAGTGGAATCTGAATGATACTGTATATAGATGGATGACAGGGCCCCTTTGGCGAAATTTTTATGTGGCAACTCTTCGTGTCTTTCTTCAGCAATGGGGCTCTGTGATCTTCCGAACGAGTTGTTGTTCCCGATTTCCGAGGAGCTGAAGGTTTCGGACCTGGGGTCCCTGGTTGTGTGTTCCCGAAGGCTTGCGGCTCTGCTCACACCCAGTTTGACATCGGCAACGCTACAATCGGCCGATTACACCGCGCTTGCACTACATTGGTCTGCCGCCATCGGGAACGTCCACCACCTCACGCTGCTTCTGGAGAATGGCCCAAGGGTAGTGGTCCAGGAAGACAGAGCGACAATATGCCGGACCCCAACGCCCGCCACTCCATCACTCGTGCAGAAACTCCTCGACCTGGGCGCTCGGATATGCGTTTCCTCATCGTATTACACGGACCTGCATTGGGCGCTCCGGCACGGCCATACGAGAGCGTTCACAAAACTGGTCGAGATGGGGGCCCAAACCCACCACCGAGACGTCTACAGGAAAACCCTACTCCACGCGGCCGCGGAATCGCATAACCTACCCGCCGTCCGGACACTTTTATCTTCATCATCAAACGCAGAAGTGGCCGTCCGTGACCACTTTGGCGCAACACCGTTGCACCTCGCCTCCGGCTGTGAGGAGATTATCCACACCTTGCTATCGGCGAGCAGGTCGCAGACGAATGTCATAGATTTCTGCGACGGCGCGGGAGAAACGGCTCTGCATCGAGCAGCAAAAGCAGGGAATCTGGGGGTTGTTAAGGCCTTGGTAGAGGCGGGGGCGGCTGTGGATGGTGAGGATGGCGAGGGGAGGAAGGTCAAGGATGTAGGGTCTGAATATCTAGGAAGGCGCAGAGAGCCGGAGGTTGTTATGGTATATACCCGGGAGAAGTAGACGAAGCTCCGGTCTAAGAAGGGAGTTGCGAGGGATGGATATGGCGCTCGGATATCTCAGGGGCGTTTACGGCCTCTATTTGAATTTGAGACCACCAGTTGGGGTGTGTGGACAGCTGGACGATTCATAATTTACACGCTTATTGCACAATACGAGCAAACACACGCGACTGATATACGGTTACCGGTATCTACCTAGGGCACACTGGACGAGGCCGCTGATCGCAAACTTGGGATTTGATGGATTTGCTTGCTATGGGGTCAACATGCACGGGTGATTTTCGGGGAAAAAAGATTCGGCGTTTGGGTTTCGGAATTGGTTACTTCTATCATACTGATCTGATGTGTATATTTTGAGTGACGATACAAGTACATAAGCTCGAAAATATCAGAGTAGTCCCACGGGAGCCTGTAAGTCGTAATTAAGTTTTCATGTGACGTAATCATGCAATCGCCCATAATTCTAGTATCATAGTGGTATCATACCGGTACCTGGTAGTGGTACTTGAGTACCGAGCAACCTAACCTACCGGTATCTCGCAGGCGTATAAGTGCCGGAAGTCCAACCCAAGTAACGGTACCGGGTAGACTACACTGCTGGTATGATATGATACCCGCTCGCTTCAACCCTGCGTCCCGGTAATCTAACCAATCCGACAAACCCCTCCACCCCGGCAAAACATTTCTCCGTCAATTAAGCCACGCACTCCGTTATTCCTGCGGACCTGCTGTCACGCTTGCCCCGACGGGCTTGAGCTAGCTAGCCGCAACTACAGCCTAGCACCCGTAAGCCCTACTCAAATACTCGTAGCTCAACGTTCGGCGGATTCGGAAGCGCGCGGAGGAGGGTCTTTGAAGGGGTGTATCGGGCGGGTGGGGGGGGGGGGGCTTAGACGGGTTTTCTTTTGGATATTGCTCGTATGGATGTGTGGGTCGCGAGGGGCGGGAGCGGGGGCTCCGGATTGCAAGCCAAGCAGCTTCTAGGAACCCTGCTATGATAGGAATGCTTGCGAATCTGCTCCCTCTCTCATCCAAGAATCGCGCGGACGTTGGCCAGAAAATGGAGGACCCAAGCACCGGGTTGGATTGATCCGAGTTTCGGGACTAAATACCCCCCTCATATGGTTTCCATGATACAGAGGGACCCGGTCGCTCGGAATCTGCAGTAGTAGTACCGCACTCGAGTGTAGTCGTATCCTGTGATGCCGGGTGAGCACTCCGGGGCACTGCAGCACTGTACAATCCATATTAACTACCAGCCCTTCACGGTCCCAAGAGGTTGGAGCGTGTGCTACCGGAGCCGTGGGTACCTTGATTCTATCGGTAACATCGCAGGATGCCGGCAGCGTTGGTGATCATAGGACATTTGGTCTTCGGCTGTGCGGGGGGGGGGGAAGTCGAAAGGACCCGGACAGCTCCTCCAACCCGCCCCGCCCACCGTAAATGGGTGTTCCATGGTATCCATGTACAGTACCAGTGCTCGAATACTGTAGCGGTAGCAAAATCCACGGTAATTTTTCTGCCAGGAAATGAGTGTCGGAGGGCTTTGTAGGTGGACAGGAGCCGCCCTTAGACAGCACTACCGGGCACCCGACTTGAATGATGCTTATCTTGGCGCCAAGGCCTCCGGATGCTTTATGAATTAGCGAGTAAATTTGCTATGAGAGGCACTCTACAGTACTCGAGTGAGCACTGGTACCCGTGCATTACCGGTATGATACTCGTACTGTACAGTACTGTACTCGAGTATGTACTCGAGCATTATACGAGTACTATGTACAATACATCTCCGTTTGCGCACATTTTCTTTATTCTTTATGACGGAGAGCGGGAACCGGGACGTCACACCCTTGCCAAGCGGCTGTCCGGTCAGGGGTCCTCATCAGCACAACCTATTTTGGGATAATTCTCTGCATCCAACCACAAGTCCTTTGCTTTCAAGACGCCCTCATCTGTCTACGCTACACACGCACCTGGGAAAATGGCCACAGTGCGCAGTAACAACCCCTGGTATGATAGCGCTGCTGGTGCTCTGGTCTCTGGTAAGGCTATGCCCCTTGATCCGCATCTAGCGGTAATAGGTGTACTCGAGTACAAAAGCGCAGTACCGGTAAGTCTCCTGGGAAGGCATTGGATTACCAGGGGGGTTTAGCTGGATCGGCACAAAGGCCCCTAGGGTAACAAGAGAGGAATTGCTCCCCTTGTGCCTTTTTCTCAGATCCATCTTGATAAACAGCCCAAGTCTTTCGGTTCATATTCCACTTCTGACATCCGTCCCAGCATAGCCGGCTAGGAGAGAAGGTAAAGTCTTCGGGTATCTTCGCTAAACTCCTTACAGAGCATTCTTAGCCTAGCGACCCGTGCGCCGAACCAGCTAAATCCCCCAAATACGGTAGTCCACACAAGATTCCGGGATCCACTTTCGATAGTGGTGGGGCTCTAGTCGCTGCTCTCAACCGTAACAGGTACCGTACAGTACTCGAGTATGTAAATTTAGAGTGTGGTGGAGAAACTACAAGCACTCGTGTTCGTACAGGCTTCCAAAATAAGGCGCGCCGAGATGTGTGTTCATATTATATCAGATTTCTGTTGAGCCCCGGGTTGATCGTTTGCCGAAAAAAGGCTCGGGCTGACACACTTCGAGGCGTATGAACCTTCACTTGCTCTTCCCCATTTACCCCTTAAAGCTTCTTCCTTAGCCGCGTCAAAGATATTGTGAGATTTGAGGGGAAAATCCCAATTTTTTCTGAGGCTGAGTTGAGAGATCGCTTCTTGGTTACACTTGCCTCGGGCTCACTAACCGCCCGCGCCGCGAGGGTTCGCAAAGCGTATTTATAATCCGCAAGGCTTTGCAAACTTTGTCATGACTCGATTGATTTCAGGATCCTGATGGAAAGGGTCTGAACTATAAGACCGTGCACCACCCGTGCACCACGACACCGGTGCTCATCAATAGAATCGGGAAATTGGTTCGGTCCCCACTTTCGCAGCCCGGAAATGGACCCGCTGAGTCTTGCCGGCCTGGCCGCAGGCATCCCAGGTTTGTTTACCAGTGCTCTGCAAATCTACGCTTTAATTTCGAGCGCGGCCACCCATGGGGAAGATTTCCAAGTTATGCTCTCTAGATTCGATGTGGAGCACGCGAGGTTCATTCTGTGGGGGGGAACCGTGGGCTTGATACAGAGCTCTCAATCATCAACAGGCTCGGGCATCGATCCACGGATTGCGCATCCGGAGATACGCGAGACTGTGGCCAAAATTCTTTCATGCATCCAAAAATCTTTCCATGATACCGAGAAGCTGAAGAGACGGTATGGGTTGATACCGGGGGAAGGAAGGTCATCACCGCTCCTAGGTCGCTCCATGCCGCTGTGCGAGAAACCAACGCCCGCCTTCCTCTCCCTATCAGTCTTCAAGGGGATCTACGAGCGACAACAATTAGCGGCGGCAGAAATGCAGAAGCAAAATTCGGCGCTTAAAAAGGCCCGCTGGGCTATCGCAGATAAGGGAAAGTTTACTACAGCCATCGAGGACCTTAAGGCCTTCAACGACGGCCTACATAGCCTTCTTCCAGATCTTGAGTGGAAGACTCAAGAGCGTCTCCGGCAGGAGGTTCTGAATAGTCAAGACGAGGATGTAATAAAGTTTTTGCAGCAGGCCTCGGAAGGAATGCCCACAGGTCTCAACAGAGCGGCTACTATCAGACTTAGTAGGCTTAACAGCAGGCATCAAACCCCTCAAGCAGATGGCCCAGCAGCTTATGAGTTCCCAGCTACCAGTGATTACGGCTTGGGCGACACTAACGGAGGAGTGCCAGGCATCACTGTAGATCTCGGGCGAGTATCCGGCCAAGTCCCCTATCTGGAACTCGCCGGGTCAGAGAAGTCCCGATCGAAATCGTTCCCGGGTGCAACCTTGACCGGCCCACGGGATTGGGAAGAGTGCAATGCTTCAGCAGATTTCGTCGAATTACCGGCCGGGGATTTCAATTCGGCCGCAAATCCGCCGCCGAGTGGGCCACCCATAGGTATACGGAGGTCAGCTACCGTTAGGTCTCTCAGAGCACTACCCCAAGGAAAACTGGAAATTTCCACCGCAGCTCAGGCCGATCCGCGGGAAACGTTAGAGACCCCTCAATCACCAGATATTACCTATTTGGCGGCGGTGAATAACCTCTTGGATTCGCCAAATTATTTTTGGGGAGGTATTTGAGATTGTTCCAATCGTTTGTCGATTTAAACTCGCTAATGCTGTGTCTCAGAAGTGACTCCGCCCCCAACCGACACAAGATCCGAGTTGAGTGCTGAAATTTCCAACAGTGCTCCTAAGTTGGGTGTTCAGCAATGCGGCGATACCCCCCCTCGTGTCTCTCCAAACCCTACGGGAATGTTTTATATATGCCTTGATTTCCAAGACCGCGGCACCAGGTGAGTTATGTCATGGCTCGGACACCACCGCCTCCCCCGCTAAGGATTGGGTCTAGGGCAGCTATAGCACATTCATCAGATCCAAAAGACTCCAAGGTAGTCGGTGGATGGCCCGATAACGACGCCTGCGATTCGTATTTTCAAAGTGCATGGGTCCCATCAGTGCTTGCATATGATAAGCCTGGTAGTGGATGCCGATGGGGGCATCAGGTCCAACAGTCGCAGGACCAAGCCGGCAGCTTCATTGCGCATCTTCAAGGGAAGAAAACCGGCTTAATGACCTACCTCCAGCGGCACGGTAAAACGCTTCAGATAGCTTTGGAAGACTACTTCGATCATCTGCTGCGACATTTGCTAGAAGCTGCTAAGAAGAAGTACGGGCATCATGTTTATGTCACTTCAAGAATCGAGTGCGCACTTATTGTATCGAACAAGTGGGAGAGCAGCGTTTTCAACCCGTTGAGGAATGCTATTCAGAGAGCGCTCATTAGTTTAGGAACCAACTCGGACGTCACCCTTCAAGTTGATACTTCCCTGGCTGCTTCGTACGTCTCTGCTCGACTTTTCGCGCCGCAGCTCGAGAAGAAAATCTGGGCCGATGGGAATTCTATCGAGGGAAATGGGGAATTATTCATGGTCTGCCACGTAACCCTCGAGACACGGAAAGCAATTGTAGCTCCCCTCCCTTCTTCTCGCAAGTTTTTCAACAACTGCTGACCTATAACCACGCCCAGACAATCCAAATATTCCAGGCTCAGAACCCCCAAGCCGTGAACTACCGCCCTCCCCAATCTTCCGGAATCGGAATGCAATCAGTCTACAGTGAATTCGCAAAGTTCCTCGAACGCTATTACGAATATAACAGAATCCACTATCGCAAACCGTACGATAGCGCTCTGCAGAACTGGCTAGGCGTCGTACAGGATTACTCGAGCAAATCGAATGTTTGGATCTCGTGCCCTTACGACCCGGACTGCTATCAGTGCCGTTGTGCGGGTGGGGAGCTGAGAGTTACCAAAGAACAGATGGAGGGGATTCTGAGTAGCTTTTTCGCGGAGGTATGCACGCAGGTCCGAGGGGGGTTGGATACGGTGTCTAGGCCCGAGGGGAGGAGTAAAGTTTTTAAGGTTTGCCCGGATAATTGGCGTCGCAGCCCTGGCTGGGGATGGTGTACTAACGGGGTGGTAGGGTATATACCTTTGCGGTGAGTTGGGATCCTGGTGCGGTGCCATGTGTGAATACCTTCGCAGGGAGCTACCGGATCAGTCAATATATCAGCTTCCAGGGAGGTGAGTGCCCACCAACCGGCCATGAATTCGGACAGCGACTAACTGACCCCTCAGCGCAACGGAGGTTGCCACAGGAGCCGCCATAGCTGCACTGGGGCACGGTGCTTAAAAGTGGGGGCGAAACTATGCGGTGAGAGAATTTTTGGGACGTTCTGGTTCTGGCTACGGCGTATAGTACGTTGGGTTGTGTTGCACACTGTATCGCTAGGTGGGTAAAAATTGGCGTTAGAGGTTGAGTGTTTTCTTTGTTGCGGAATCAAGCTTAGCTGGATCGGCAAGATATATGATATGTCATGAGGTGGTACAAATTTGAATATCATACAATCTATATAGTATTACGACTGAGGGTTAGGGAGCCAAGACCATAGCCAAGGGGTTAACCTCGTAGATTTCCATAGGCACCGGCAAATAGGGGTCTGGGCAGCTCCATTGCCATCAAGAGCTCGGAAGAGAAGGAGTGTAACATATCTTCAAGAGGCCTTAGCATCCGCATCAGGAAGGAGTCTCAGGAACCCTAGACCGAACCATATAAACCCCTCCCCCCAAACCACACAAGCCCCTTCCGAATGTCCCATTCATATTTCTCCCCTCACCCTTGCCACATCTCCCACGTGTGGCGTGGCGGGGTTCCTTCAACACTTGGGCAAGTATGTGACCGCCCGAGCAACCCCAATCACAACCCACCATGAATCCTATGATATACTGCTAAACACCCTTCCGTGCTGTAGGCCTAGGATACCTGCAGGTCCAAACCTGGTCATCATCTCACAAGAAAAACACCACAATGCATTCCCCTTCTAGGTTCTGCTAGGACATACATACAAGCGGGATAGGGCTCTCCAGATTACTCCGGAAGTGGCAGGAGTGCGATGGCATTGTTCTAGAGTTTTTGCGGTTCACGGGGGTCTCCCAAAGTGTCTTTTCTTTTATTATGAAGGGGGTTGTGGGGGGAATGGGTGCATACACTGGATAGGCGTATTGCGATCATGGAAAGGTCAGAATGCCCTGATTTTATGTTTTTTATTTTTACATACATATGCCCCTGTACTTGACTATGATATCTGTTCAGTCTAGTTTAGCTTAGAGAAACGCGGGAAAGGAAGAAAAGTCCGAACAGGGCGTCGACGAAATTTCGGGCCGTACCTTTCTCCCTACTGTACGATATGGCACCGCTGGAACTTTATTAGTTACTCCGAACTATCATTCTATCTTCCGGGGAGGTTTCTCTCATGCGGACCGGGCGGGGATGATACGTGGGATATAATAAGATGCCAGTGAAGGACCGGAACCAACTGACCGAGCGAGTTTCGATAAATCGCTCTCCGTTTTCGTTTTACGGGCAGTCAAGTGTAAGCAGAAGGGTTGTGGAAGAGTTAGAGGTGAAGTTTTAGTAGTGTGTGATGAGGATCGTGCTCGGTTTTAGGATGATACAGAGGAAGAACCAATCGAACCGGTGATAGTCTTACTCCCAATGCTGGTGATATATTTAATAACCCTAAATTGGAATTTTTCACCTTCTTCCCCTCCTACGTGCGCCATGTGTACCCCCCCCCCCCGCGCCTGTTAATAAACTTACCGATTGAAGAATATCTGGAGGACAGGGAAGTCCTGCGGTGGGTCGATGGCATCACGTTATGAGAGGGATGAGATACCTTTGATATATGCAAGAGTACTGTGGGTCCCTTGGCGTGCGAGAGTGAGGTTGTTCTGGAGAAGCAAAGTTCTCGTTCCGAGTCATCTGTTTTGCCGAGCATCCCCGAGGAACCAAGAGGCACTCAGCCCAAGGCTCGAACCATTTCAAGTCGGGAGATTTCGGTGTGTGTAACGACTTTCCACACATGTTACGGAGTAGCCGATCAAGCCCGGAACCTGGCCCTCGAGATTCGAGAACCACTCTTTCGCCCCACACGGCATGATTCTTGTTGCACAAAGTTATCCCATGAAACCATAACACAGCAGAACCATAGAGACAGAGCCGCAACAATGTTAAAGGGCCGCCATACTCCAGTTATTAACTTAAGGTAGACCTTAGGGAGGTTCCGCTACCTGGTTGGGCCCCAATCGAGGCTTGATTTAGACGGGAAAACGCGTACAATACCGTACGAGTACAGTATGACTAGCATTTGGAGACTGTGAGATACAATTTGGTAAATCACATTTTTTTACATAAATTACAATCTCCATAGAACATAGGAATTAGGTTGTTATCCCCTGAGTGTAATGGTGATATGTACTACAATTACAAGAATCACAGAATTAAAGTCTGCATTATAATTTGTGTAAACATAAGTTTATCTTAGACTTGCAGTATAGACAATGCTACTATGATATTATGACAGTCATGGTCTATCCCTACTGCAGATAGAAAGTCAATTTTAATATAAAAATTATGGTATCATAATATGATTGTCTTTCTTAAGATATCAAAATTGGCAGTAAAAGTACAAAAAGTATATCCAGAGCAAGAATTGAACACAGGATCTTTAAAAACTACCAATGTTATGGTAAAGCCCTAACCGTGCCAAGATTGTCGCTCCGCCACAACCCTCGATTGCTCACAATCTTGGGCACCTCTATGAGTACGAGGTGCCCTACAGCTCAACGCAAGATTCGGCTCAACGACACTTTCACGCTTAATCCAAACCAAACTCCCACCACGCGAAAATAAAAGTTATAAAAGAGAGGAAAAAAATGGAAGACTTATTTGC